TAAACGTTTAACATGTCCTTATCAGTTGTCTAAACGTTCCACGCTCGCAGCACAAAGCATTTCTCCAAGATTGGCTGGGGTCGCCTTCTGCGTTGACGGTGATTGGGGATCAGCTAGACGTCGTTCAGAGATTCCACTACCTAGGCACCTATATCTGCGTCTGTGTAATCGAAGACAAGGTCAAAAGCCAAATAACAAAAGCTCGAGGTACTTTTATTAACCCACGTCACCTATGACGCCTGTGCAACACCATTCTCGCCCTGAAGGGCAGCGTTTACAATACAGCCTTAAGTTTGACCGTACTGTGGGGTTGTGAAACTTGGCACATTGTGTCGGCAGACATAAAGGATCTAGTTACGTTCGATCACCGGTTTCTTCGCAGTTTGGCTCATATCTGACGGGAACACTCTGTGAGCAATGAGTGCGTTCGATACCTTGTTTATGGCACAGGAAGATGAAGTGACCCGCTTAGCATCGTTATTGCACGCGCCGGGCTTTAATGGTTCAGCCACGAGTTGCACATGCCAGCCCACCTTCTCCCCCGACGTGCATGGTGTACTCGCCGGGGGTGTGGATGGAAGAAGAGTAGGGAAGACCAAGCGATGACCTAGCCTTTGTCCTTCGCATCCCGCTTATCTTTCCCTCCAACCACGATATCATTTCGCACGCATAGTAGAACACGTTTTTGCCGCATACTGTCCTGCAGCTGGCTCTCCGGAGCGATACCAGGCTGGTGACTCAGCTGGTTTGCTTCTGTTGCATACTTGCGGCACACTAGCTCAGGTGTTTTCCACCTGAGCTTACGCCTATAATGAATGACGACGATGCTTCAGATGGCTCCTGACACATCATGGTCAAATTACGGTCTACTTTACGGCTGTCACAAACCTAATGCTTTGTCCTGACTGTTTGGAAGGCACTTATTGGAAGTGGTACGAATCTCCTTATGACATTTGATCTGACCGATCTGGCGTGCTATTTGAAAAGGCTTAATACAATAAATTTTTGTTCCATGAGAAAGAACTTTTTGGCACTCTAAAGTGTATTTCCCAGGTAGATCTAATCACTGCGTTTAAAAAGCGCCCCATACTACACAGCAGTAACGGCCAAAGTTAACTAACGAAACTTTTTTAATATCAGGTCACCAGGATGCTGAGTGCCCTGTCACGTGGCTTTGACTGTCATTCCATTTCTCAAACAAAGGTCTATCAATAACCGATATGCATAGATATAGCTAACAACGGGAGTAACCAGACTAGCTTAAGGTGCAGAACGAATAACGATGAGCTAGTGTGAATTACAGTAACACCAATGGCGAACGGCTACCATCGAAGACTTATCGAGAAACACAGCCAACCGCGAGGGCCAAAGGACTTGGTGCACACGGCAGCCAAGAGGAAAGTGTATATCGAGTTACCTTTCAAAGGTGATTTACCCACGCTGAAGACAACTAAGCGTATAATTTTGGCTACACAAGGAAGCTACCATGCTGCAAAAGTTGTTGTTATCAACCGAACCAGAAATCTGCCTATACCTGCAACGAAGGAAGCTCGGCCTATTGGGGCCAATTCACATTGTGTATACCAATTTGTATGTGATTGCGGAAACAATTACATAGGCAGAGCTGACTTCCCGAATGAAGGAACATGTACCAAGATCGGCTCAACGTGAAGTTGCTCAGATTGCCTACCCTCGTCAGATTCCATGTTCGCGCAGACCACCGGCTTCCTCGATAGCCAAACACCTATTAGACTGGGTCACCGGATAGAGCTGGGCTCAACGTTTAAGTTGTGTTACGTCACACTAATCTCCGCGTCCTTCGGTTTGCTAAGGCTGTCACTATAAGCCGGATTAAGCAAGCGTTATGTGTTCAGAAACAATTATTCTTCAGCCTAAAGCTGTCGTGGACATAGGTGTGAACTTCTGTCATTCGTTCGGCACCTTAAGCTTGTCTGGTTGCACGCACTGTTAGCTATATCTATGCATATCGGTTATTGTTAATGGTACTGAGGAGACAATACGAAATGCACACATCTACCAGTCTTCGTCTTCTTTCCGTGCTTTTCAAATTGTTGATGGGAACTAACTGCTTTAAAAGTCTATCAGTCCAAAGCGAGCACATCATGTACCATATACATATGCGAGTCGGATTGCAATATGCTATTGCAATCATCTACTTACTAAGTGTATTTACTTCTTTCCACAATTTAAATCATCGAAAGAGGGTGAAAGTATGCATTTCATATTGTATTCTCAGTGTAACTAACAACAACTGATATGCAATTGTGTACTTAACATTGGGTGTGACCAAACAAGTTTGAGGTACAAAGTTAATGCCGGAACGTTAACCCCTACGTCAGTAGCAACCTTCATTTGAATACACATCCGGCTTTTTGGGGACTGCTTCGGAGAAACGAAAGCAGTGGGGATTATCTTGATGTAAAACAATTGGGTGTGCTGTTACGAGCTGTATCCGGTGACACGTTACCACTAGGTGTTTACCTATTTGGGAAGCAGGTGACATGCACACGCACAGAGGTTCAGGGGGCAGGGATGTTGGTACATGTTACTTTATTCGGATAGTCAGAGACTTAACATTTCCGCCTATGTAACTGGCTCCGCGTTCACGCACGAATTGGTATACACAGTGTGAGTTGGTTCCAAGGGACTGAACTTCCTTCGTTGTAGGTATGGGCACATTACACGTTACATTAATGACCATAGCTAGTGCAGCATTGAAACTGATGTACATAGCGGAAAGCTAACGCTTTGTAGTGTTCCGAATAGTCAAGCCACACTTGAAAGGCAACCCAATAGATGACTTTATTGACCGACGTATGCAACAAGCCCTTCTGGCCTACCTGTTTACTGTACTTTTCTATAAAGCTGCGAGGATAATTATTCGCCACGAGTGTTGTTCTAACTAGGCTATCTCGTCGGCCAGGCAATTAGCCGAGCACATTTCTCTTGCACGAATAACTAAGAGTTCCACCGGCGTTCTCTTGTATCTTACTAGTGTAAAGCTAGTGAAAACATATATCGAGTTGTCTTTCGAGCGAGACTTTAACTGAGGTGAGCGCACACTGTGACAATTTTCTAAGCGTCAGTTCCATTCTCACTGTCTTCAAACTTCGCACAGTTGTGATGATACTCATTCGGTTCACCGGTACTCCGGTTGTTCGAATCGGCGATAAATTTCATAGTTTACTAATCCACTTCTCCGCATGCGCTTATGCATTTGCACTAACATAATCCACCTACTACGATGGTCTTCCTTGAGATAAAAACCATGTATCATGTAAGTAACCGTAGTATGGTTTTGCTTCTACTTCGAAGGTGGATTAGAAAGACTCCCTTCTTTCTACATGGACTTCCTCATGTTTCAAAGCAAGATGCATTATGTTTACCATGTTTCTTCTCCTTTCAGCTGGGGTCTGTTGAGCGTGGATGACTCCAAGTTGGAATTATTGTTTTGAAAATTAAGTGTATTCGGTGCCCAACCGGTAAATTTAAATTCTAAACAATATAAGATTCGCAAGCTTGGACGTGGATATTTTATGACTGCTGCAGAATCTACCGCTTGTGTAATTGGGCAATATTTTCTGGCTCCCAGTTTTACTGATGAACTGTGGATGTTTCCATGCAATTGGTAGCGTGTCACTGCTGATCTTCAAACCTCTACTCTTATCGACGTGGCTTTTGTAAACCTCAAAAGCGCCAACCGTATCCGAAAACAAGATCTCCGACACCTTCGTTACTCTAAGTGCGCGGCGCTGCTGCTGTTTAGATCGGCAACATCGACACCACGCATTCAAGATTTTAGCTGACTGGTCATCGCTACTCATATGTACCCAAGTGGCAGTGCTACTATCCGTTACTTTGTTTTCTCAATAGACCCTATGGCCTCACAATGGCCCAGGCCGGTTGGATCCATGAATGGACCAAATAACCTTAATAAAATTAACTAATATGCCTAATGTTGGCTTTGTATAGCAATGTATAGGAAGTACCTCCATCCTGGTATCTACAATGACCAGCGACTCCAGTCAGTATGACGAAGTCCAGAAACTTGATTGTGACAAAGTGTTGAATTAGTTGCTTCTACTCCACTCACCGTTACCTGCACCACATTCTGTTTGGCTATTCTTTTGCAATTTTCTTGCTTGTGTTTAGCCTATATTTTAATTCCTCTTTGCTTTTCACTATTACGGTGATATAGACCGTGATAATTTTCTTCACAACGCGTAGTTGCAAGTCCGAGCCTCATCAAAAGTGACTGACTGCATTCATGCTGGTGGCATTGCACTCAACCTCATAATAATTTGTCGCCTTGTTTCACAACAGTTGTTTTTTCAAGTTTAAGGATATAATTTGGTTTTAGAATTTTTGAATAAAAACGGAAACGTTTCTATACAAGGTATTCCTCATTAGGGACGGGTTTATTGACCATACTCATTCTACTACACATGGCCATCCCGACGCGCTGTCAGTTCCCGCTGACCTTAAAAACCACTTTGTATTTTAACCTTCTATGATTTGGACGGGCAATAGGTGAATCAATCAAAACAATTGTTTGCCTCAGACTGATGTTCTCTACATGGTGTGTCGTCACAAACCTTTGTTCATTCAAGCGGATGAGAGGATAGCCGTCTAAATGGTTCTCTGATTTTAACATCAATAAACCTGCATATGTTGTTGGGATTCCCCAGTTGACTTGAATATTTAACTAGGCCATATCCTTTGCACAGTGAAATAAACAAAGAAGCAAGTATCTATTTGCTGATGCGTTTCTTTTGGGATAAAGTAAAGTTAACAAAGCATACGCTATCAGGACCATGCGCAAATGCCATCACTCCATTTGTGTTGACAACGAGTAATCAGAAAGTCTTTTCAACTCTTAGGATGTTTGTATCCTTTGCCGCAAAGATGTTTACGCATACAATTATCGATCCAGCCGGAAATTAATTTCGCCATCACTTCACTTTTTCCTTTGATCGCAGGATTTGCAGAGGTGATGTTTACATGGTAAGCGAACTACTTTTATAAAATCCTAGGATTATGTGACTACCAACACGCTTGTTGTGACTCCTTTTTATGTATCTGTTAAATTTATTCACTGACACGAACATTATTCGATCGACTCAACCATGCAAACTACTGATGGGCTGATCTCTCTTCCAGAGTTTACGTGGTAAACTGCTACTTTCATTTGGGTGGTTAAGAAATACCTTCAGGCTCCCAGTATCAAGAACAAATATATATCATGATGGGCCTAATAAACCTTCCCTCAGTTGTCAGTTATCTTGCAATGGGATTCGCATAATGTGTATTGACGCTCTGACGTTACTTTACCTTCATTTGATTATATAAGCAGGCAAGCTACTAGACTGCAACTTAAATAGGAATCGGTCCTTATCGTCTCGACACAGCCCAGATTAGTTTACGTGGATTCAATAGGATCTAGACTGTTATTGAACTAACTACCACTACAATTGCGGTTTTTGTGCCAGAAGTTAACCGTAGATGAGGTTTAGAAGTTCTCAGTGCCACCTTTCACACAAGTTACTAATTGTTGTGTGACCTAAACACGTCCAATAAACAAATGAATACGTAACGTAATTCTCGACGATGCGAGATGCATTCCAGCTGAAAACTTCAAGCCCACACCGCCAATCGATGTATTGGTTACTTGCATTTTATCGCAGGATGCATGTTGTTTGAAGCTAAGCATAACCAACTTGCACGAATATGTTCGTGACATTATCTGAACAAAATTAAGTTGCGCATGACCCACAGAATTCTTCTCTAATTTTGTCGATTTCCACATGAACGATCTACCGTGTTCCAGGAGGACCTGTCTCGCAGTTTTATTGGGCAAATTCTGCTTTCATAAACGATCTGATGAGCCCAAGCATCTAGGTGGCTTTGTCTCACTTCAGTGATTGGGATACCTAATTTGTAGACGATTTGACAAGAGTTATTCACTAGGACCAATAGGGAATGACTATCATGGGTCCGCGGGTGCAATTCCATACAGCTTCCCACTGAGTGACAAGCAGCAGCCATCCCTTTCCCTTCTCTAAAACCGTGATCGCGAAAATGTCATCAAAACTACTGGCTGTGAGCCAAAGTTTAGGAAAGAACATGATTGTTAATCTTAATATCTGGCTTTTTGTATGCTTCCGGTGGACGCTAGATAAGCTTATTATCAGCCTTTTATATGACCTCGAACTGCGGCTGTTAACAGCACAGCATCTGGGTTTCATTAAGTTAGCAGTTGATCAACAGTGCTTTTAAATTAAAACTTACCATCGCCGCTGGAAGCATCGGTCAACAATCGCAGCGAGCCGGAATTCACCCTTGCTATTGCTAAATTTTCAGCCACGGGAAATCACACTGGCACTTATTCTCAGAGTATGACATTTGATGTGCGATGAGGTCTTACAACGCTTATTCCAGTTAGCAGCCAAAAAGTGCAAATCACAGTTATCTGCCAAGTTTTTCGTTTGCACTTCCGCATTGTAATGTTGTTATGAAAGCATGCCTCTAAGTTGGTGGCCCATACCTACCTTCTTTATTTATCACTTTCTTCAACGTGTGGGAGCAGACTGTCTAAATTTTAACATTTTTTTAATATTCCAGGATTGTATAGTTACTGATACTATATTTGCTTTGTCTTATCATAAGAAATAGCTCTTTCTTGACTACACCAACTAGTTTCACCACCTACGACATCATAACTTGTGGTTGCTTTCTCCTTCTCTGTTATTTACGTTGCTATTATCAGATGTGGTGTATCTCACTTCACGTCAACTAGATATTGGATCTAATAGCTTCAATCAGTGATTTAATCTTTCATGCTAGTCTGCATTTCGCTAGGATTCCGGTCCTTTTGCTCATTACCACTCAACCGAAGGTCCCACGAAAACAATTATAAAATATAAGTCAAATATTTGCTTGATTGTCCTCGTTCTTACACCGCACACAGTATAAAATAGACACTCGTGTAAAGACCAATAGCTTTTCGCTAGAAATGTCAGTTGCTTTGCATGGACAGTTCTCCTGTATGGGTGCAACCGATCAACTGCAGACGCTAAATGAATCCCGACATTAAAAGTCCGTTCATGATATCTTTCAATTAAACTACTTTGCAGACGAACGCTATGTTGGCAGAAAAAGTGCCTTCATTCGTTTAGTAGAAATCATATCAGAATCCATTTTGTTCTATCTCTCATTTAACAAAGTGGAATACAGCTCATACTATGCTGGGAGAGGCAGTATTCAGCCAAGATCTCCACGTACTGACCTCAGCTTGTATCTCCGAACCACTAAACAAACCTGTGAATATGAGGGAAGCCTATCTCACCTCTAACTGTAAGTTATCATCCTTGTTTAATCCAGATAAATGATTGCTTTCTCCCGTCCTAGAAGATGTAATCGCATCAAAGGTTTGACCGGATTTTTCATTTTCACGGGTTTCGCTTCAGATAATTGTTTGTGACCAGCTGGCCGTCGTAACTTGACAGGATTTTTCTTTAAGCCACAAATCTTAACTCGCGACATTAGAGTCATTGCGAAACAAATAGTTTAAGCTCACAGCTGACAAACATTTTAATGGCGTGCGCTCACCCATTTCCTCTGATCGATTGTTTATCATGCGTGTCGCATACGTCTCGAATAAAACAATGATAATTTATTGCATGATTAACTTTGAGCAGCTTCAAGAAATTCTAGCATTGCTAAGCAGTTGTTTATTCTGTTACTAGCTTGTTTTTATTTCTGATGGGTCATCTTAGATACACCGGAATGCGTGCACCTAATGAGAATTGACTGTATAATCAGTTATGTATTGTAAACGTTCTGGTTTAATTATACCGCTGGGTTCTCATTTGAGGATGCACACATAATTATTCACTCGGTCCTATCTTGACTGCAGAGCGATTTGTCAGATAACTGAAATGAGCACGTTTTTTAACTAAGAGCCAGACATAGTTATCTGCTTATCGACTGCTTTGTGTGGGAAGTTTACCCATAGTAACCAAACGCTAATGCATTCTTGCAATATCACTCCAGTGCACTACACAACTGAATTGACCTCGGCAAACAACAACATACCTATTGAACAGTTGCTCTGCACACGTGTTGCGACATTGCCTTTTGCTGAATCAGCTTAGCCGATGTGAGAAATTGATGCCGCACTTCCCACTCTGAAAGAGATCCTATATGAGCTTACTGTGTTGAAGCGAAAATGGTCTCATAGATCCTTGCTGAGAGTTGGTGTTGGCTTTTTGTTGGTCGGACTAACTGCTTGATTCAACACGTCTTTGAAACACAGATGAAGTACCTACCGACTGGCGAATTTCAACTGTTGTGTTTATCTTCAAGTAGCAACTATCCAACTTACGCGCAAATCATCTAGGCATTAGTCTTGTTTTAATTGCCTGCAAAATGCGCACGGGCACCACTGCTAGACGGCTTACTTGTTCTCGTGAGAGCTAAATCATCGAAAGCCAAGCTGACGTCCGCCCTTGTCATGTTTGCACCGACCATATCTGTACCCATCGTCACGTGTTAGAGCAGAGGTACATTTAACCGACGACCGACTGTGGTGAGTTTCCTGATGTGGAATCGACATTTGACTCTGTTGACCGCGACAGCAGGTAGTATTGCCTTTCCATGAAGAGCGTGGCAGCTATACTTTTTCTGTAATCTGTACGGTGAATCTCGAAGCTACGTAATGAGGTACAGGAAACTATCTCCTATGTTCTCTATGACAAGTGGTGTTTCCCAGGGTTGTTCTATATATCCTTTCCTTATTAGATTTCTGATTGACACGATCATGAGTGATTCTGTATTCCAAATTCTTCCTGAGTATATGTTCTACCAAGTGACTGCCCGACAAACCTGGGTTATGGGAAGGACATACCTCTCTTTGGGTCTGACGGTATGAATAAGCTGCATGCTTCAGCATGTGCTTTGCACCTTCAAAGTGCACCGATAGCTAAGTAAGTGTTTTTAAATATAGCCGAACAGCTCCTGGAGTTGGTGGATCGTCACACTTACCTTGGTAGCTGTGTCACCACTGGTGGTCACAGCTTTGAAGTGGTTACTCGCATATCAGCAGGGCCCGTGTGGCTCTTCGAAGGCGCAGTCATCCAGAGACTAAGAGACTTGGTCTGGCTGGTGCTTGCCGTCTTCGTGGGTGGTGGCGACGGGATGGTCGACGCCGGTGGTTAAAAACCCTATCAGACATGGCACGTGCTCACAATCAGTGACGTTCCTGTATTCGGTCACTTGCATCTAGTTAGTTTCTCATGCTCCATCCTGATAAGTCTAACGCCCCTCCTCGCTTCCATTTTCTTTACATTCTATATGCATTCAACACAACCAACTTACTCTTGTTATTTGCTGTCATTTTTGCGATATGAGCCATGGCAACTAGATCCACCGCACTGCGGTGCTCGGATCATGGTTGTCCAACTGAACTGAACAACTACAATCTCCAAGTCCAACTTACAATCTGCCCACTTTGAGCATCAAGCTAGATGTAAGAAAAAAATGAAATTAGCCATTTAAACACTTTCTAAAACTGGCTAGGCGTATTTCCTTGTACGCGTTAAACCCTCGGTGCGCATACCTAACTTAATCAGCACATCGTAGCTTCCAACGCTATTCAACAGTTGAGCTCAAATTACTCAAATGGAACAGATCAACTTAACCGCTGTGATTGGTACTCGACAAACATTCTTTTTTTCAGCTCATTAGTTATGCGTATTCAGCTAGTAGAAGCACTTGCGAAGAGAACTCTCTTCGGAAATGCACTTTAGGCAAATACAATTACAAGAGTAAGCTAAACGTAACAGGTAAGCCAAAGCTGGGAATGCGATCGGTTGACTCAACAAAACCTATCAATAATCTCGATACAAATATCATGGGGGTGCGAGCACGCGCGAAGACGCACAGACGCGTTGGCCGGAGGTGTACAGTGGTTCGACATAACGACCACAGCAGCGTGATAGATTGTGAGTATTCTCTGCCTGCATACTTCAGGTTAGAGTATTCTGATGCCAATGGCTTCGGCGGTTGCCACTAAGCGTTTTCTGATTCGCTTGGGGTTGCGCCTCAGTGCCATACAGAATACTTTGCAGATGTCATCCGTCCGAATCCGATGACCGATGCTAAGCAGATGTTCGAGGAGAGAGCTCCGGACATTATTAAAAGTAGAATGTTGCAAACATGCTGAGCGGTGCTCTGCTATCCGCTAAGCTACCCGCATTCTCGCATGCCTGCGGTACTTGCAAGAGAGTGCAGCTGAACAGCCATAAAGCAATTCCCGCAAAATCGCATAAAAAGACCAAAATATTGCAAACAGAGCCAAAATTTTTCAAAGAAATTGCAAATGTTTGCAAAGAAAGCGCGAAATCTTGCAAAAACCTGCGCGATTCGCCAGCCGCTCTGACCCAATCCTCTGACCTTAAGTGTGTTCTCATTGACCGGGTACTAGGGTTTAGTGCGCAAGTCGTGAAGTGAGCGCGCTGCTCGTTGAGTAGGTGAGACTTATTTACGAACTTCGAGTCCATGGATATGGGCGGTGCCACGACATACTATGCGCCCCTGCTCCTCACGTCCGAAACGCTGGATCACAATTAGTCTGATAGCAATGAAAGTCGGGAGCGTAAGCCGGAACATAAGCGGTGTGAACATGCATTCTCGTGTTCGACAGAGTATCTCGTCAGACATTCGTGACCGAGTTGTAGTGCTTTCGTCAACACTGACGACTGACTTCTCGTGACAACCGTGAACAATGTGAAATGTTAAACTGCCTGCTCCTGGATTCGTCGCTCTCTTGATCAGAAGCCGGATACTACGCAGGCGCGCTATCGTGAGCGAATTCTGTCAGAAGAAGAGATCGATGACATCCTGGAGTGGACCGCGAAGGACGCAACTCTAACACTAAACAATATGCGAGTCCGAGTACGTGCTGATATGGATAAGAACATTTCAAAGTCTACAATCGCACGACACCTGGACGACCGTTTAATGACTATGAGGGACACCTATCAGACTTCAGATGGAGTGAAAAATGATCGAACCAAAGCGATACGAAGAGTTTGTTCAAAAGTTGCTGGAACTTGAAAGGGAGGGGAAGTTCTTCATATGGATCGACGAAACAAACTTCAGCGTTTACTGCAAACATGCTCGTGGTCGGGCCTCCAGAGGATTGAGGGTCTGTGTCAAAGTATCCAACAGTAGTGGCCTGCATCGGTGCACTCACAATGGATGGAAACGTTTCGATGACTTCCCGGAGAGGCTTATTCACTGGCCCTCTATCTCTCGAGTGGCTGCTAGGCATTTTAGACAAACTGCAACAGGAATTGGAGCTCCGGCAGTTGGTCGTAGTGTGTGACAATGCACCATGTCACACACGTTTGGGAGCAATTGCGTCAGTCGAAAGATACGAAGGGGTTGCCATTCTGAGATTGAGCCCATACTCCCCGTTCCTCATTCCCATCGAAAGTGTTTGGTAGGTGGTAAAGGCCCGAGTACAAAATGAAATGTGAATGCAGTACGATGAACCTCTGACCGGGAATCCCCAGAAACTCATGACGCAAACGGAATGGAGGTTGCAGTTTCTGGAACGCATTGCCAGAGCAGCAACCAGTGAGATCAGTGTTGCGAGATGTGGTAATGCGGTTCGACACATCGGTTTACATTTTCCTAATTGTTTGAAAATACGACATGCTTTGGTTACATTTACGGCTTATCACTTTAGACATCTGGTTGTATGGCGTATACCACTAGGGGCGGGTAGGGACACGAGGAAATTCCAAATCTCGGCGAAATAGTTATGCACGCACGTATGGTTATACATTCGTACGGGGGTTGCAGCGATATCTGGTGTCTAGCGTTAGGCAATGACATGAGACTGGCTTCCAATGAGACATGTGCGAGTGATATTTGTAGCGTATTGTCTACTTCGTACTGGTGTGCGTCGCGCGTTACTCGTTCAAGAATAACATTAGACAATGCAGATAGGGTTTCAGAATTCTGAAAACTAGGACGTCTGGAAAGTGAATTGCCGAAATACTGCGAGTTATCGTAAAGCATCAACAAATCCACAAGGGATTGATGCACCAAAAATAATTGACATGCAACTTCTTGTGCGGTCAGTAAGCCACCGGTAAGTGGACGAGTGTTATGCTCACGTTATTGTTATGTCGGGTCAGAGTGCACTTTATACGATGCCAGAAATAGCCAGTTCTGCATTCGGTAGAACACTGTGGCGCCCAGGGCAAATAGTGCGCATGGTCGCGTCGCATAACCGGTTTCGCTGCCGCGTTGTAGTACAACCACGCGAGAGCTTGAGAAATGGA